CTCACCCCTGTCACAACCCCCTCACCCCCAGCATGTCCCTGCCCAGAGGATACTACCCTCATGCCACGCTCCAGAGGGTCTGTGAGCAGCAACCCCCGTGGTGCATAGATCTTCTCGTTCTGCTCCTGGATGTACTTGGAGATCTTCTTCAGGACCTGGCAGCACACAGAAGGATGCTCAGGGCCTGCCAGCTCTTGCCTCCAGCCTCCCTGCTCCCTGTGCCCCCCCGTGTGCTCCCTGCGCCCCCCCTGTGCCCACTGCCAAGCCTGCAGCCAGGCCCATCCCTGAGCCCTCCCCCAGACCTCAGCACCTTCTCGTAGTGCGTCTCCATGCAGAGGAAGATGAAATAGGCGGTGGCGCAGGCCAGGCACCCCTCCAGGTACGAGCTGCCCCCAATCTTCTCTGCTTCAGCGTAGAAGCTGTTAAGGGTTTTCACAGTTTCCTCGAAGAGCTGCCGCTCGATCTAGAGCAGAAACTGGGGTGAGGAGGAGTCTGGCCAGAGACTGACCCCCTGCACGACCCTGTCCCCATTCCTGAGGGAACCTGGAGAGCACTTAACCCTCTCCTCCCTTCCCATCTGATGTCTCCAGCTCCCAGGCGTTGTCCCACCTGTGCCAAGACCTGCTGGGCTGGCAGCTCCTGGTCCCCAGCAGCACCCAAGCCCTCACAGACAGAGCAAGGCATCTGTGACTGCACGCACCCAGCAGCATCCGCTGGCCCAGGGCCATACACTCCATCGGGGCCCCATGCCTTCAGACCCCTCTCCCCCCTGAGCCCCCACAGGGCACCGACACAGGGCCTGCCAGGCTCCCTACCCGGCTCTCCAGCTCGGGGGGGAATTTCGTCTGGAATTGGCACGTAGTCCCGTCGCTATAATCCCGCTGCACGAAGACCTTGGTGGCCAGGGACGCGCTGCGCCGCAGCTCCTGCAGGCTGTGCACCTGGGGGGGCAGCAAGGTGAGCTAGTGGGGGAGCTGCAGCCGTAGGGTGCTGGGCATCCCTTAGGGTGCTGCCCTGCTGCGGGGCTGGAGGCTCAGGGAGCAGCGAAATTCCGCAGTGTCAAGGGCTGCGGGCTCGCACACCCCCGGGTCAGGACCCCCCAGTGCGGGCTGTGTCATGCCGTGAGCA